CAAGACGCGATAAATCGAACCCAGAAGTTCGATTGCCTGCCGCCGAACCAGCGCGGTAAGTATAGACAAGCCCTGAGTGTAGCAAAAAACATTTAGTAAAAAGAGGAAAGTAACTCGGCATGACTTTGGGAAAACACCACAAACAGGGTTCATAAATATAGACCATGAGCAAAAGACCCGCCCCCTAGGTAGGTTGGGCAGTGTCCTTTTCCCCTCAGGGTCTTAAGTCCAGCAACCCAAAAGTCTCTTTTACGTGCCCGACCTTTCTCTGCACCCCACGCACAGTTGCTATCTTTGGTCAGGGAAGGCCCAAAGCTCAGAGGTGCATCTGCAGAATTCACCTCCCAGTGTGGGTAGTGGGGGTAAGAAAGCATCTTACTCGCTCCGCTGCTGCGACACTTGCTCGCCTCTCCCCCGCCAGCCGCCCTGCTCGCCGACCATCACCCCTCTTTGCCAGACTCCACTTCACCAGCCGCCCTCTCTACCCACAGCTGCAGAGTGAATTATTTCATCCTCTGCCATTGCAGGCCCTCTTCCCTTCTTCCCAGGGCAGTCTGGTATCCCCTTCCTCAGCCCTCTGCCAAGTAGAGCCTGTCCCTGAAACCCTGAACTCCCTGCCCCCAACCCCTGCCTGGTGCACAAAGAGACACATGGGGAATTGTTCCCCTTCTGTGTTTCTCCCCCTTTGGGAGATGTGCTGAGATCAGGCACTGGGCGGATTCTCCACATGAGTGGAAAATGGGTCTAGAATTCTGCTATTCTGGATCAAAGTGTTGTACACCCACTTTGCACTGGTGTGAATGAGTGTGCGAGGTGCAGGCAATGGAGAATCTTTCATCCCTCAAACTGCTCCGTCTGATTCCCAGGGAGCTTTGTGACAGTCTCAGGAACTGATCCTAGAAACTGAAACCAAAAGGCTGAGCTGCCCCTTTCCCAGAAATGGGAGGAAGCCGGGAAGCAGGGCTGGCTCTGAGCCACCAAACTGCAAACAAAATTCCTACAGCCCTTAACTCTTGCAAGGAAACTCAGGCGAAGGCCTGGCACGTGGAGCTGTTTAGCCGGCAGCCACCCGACAGCAGCTCGAAAGCTTGTCTCTCTCCCCAACACAAGTTGATCCAATACAAGAAATTCACTCACCCACCATCAGGGGTGAAAGTAACTTAAATTTCTTAGAGGTACTGTCGTATCGTAACCTCCCCTTTGGGGCTCTGCTGCTGGGCCCGCGCGCCCAGGGCTTTGCTGCTATCCCCGCACGCCTGGGGCTCTGCTGCCGGCCATGTGCACTGGGGTCCGGGCTGCCAGCCCCACGTGCCCAGGGCTTT